AATTAATTAATCACACAGTAAAACTATAAATAAAGAAGAAAAAAAATTTACACAATAAATTGCACCATCTATTGCAAGTTTTATACCGCCCAGTCTTCAGAGAAGACTGGCTATTTTTTCACTTTCAGGTGAGCACTCCCAAAGGACTTCATGGTCTTCAAAGCCTCATCTTCACATGAAAGCGTTAGGCCACATCTTCTAGGTAGATGAACCTGCCAGAAAAAAAAATATTCAAGATCCTCCATGATCATGGAACCTAAATCTCTCACTCAACAAAAGGACTTTGTTCATACTAAAATTCCACATTCATCGGAATAAGTTTTGCCAACATTAACAATTATATTTCTTCCAAAATTGCTATCAGATTTGAAACTCTTACGTAACTCTTAATTTGGTGGCCCTTCTTATCATCCTTTATTGCATTGAGTTCATTCTTCAAAGTGGTCATTACTCTGAGAAAGCTCACCCCTGCCTTTAGTCAAGAAAACCTTTTTACATCTTTCAACAACATCATTGTTAATACTATTAACCTTCGGTGTTCTTTTGACAACGGAACCGGCTCCATTACAAATGAACCAGAATCCAATTTTAACCAGGATGGTCCTGCAGGCTATGAGCTTATATAGTAGTTGCGAAAACATAATTTAAGAACTGATCGCAATGTCTAGACCATGAATTCATTGATTATGGAGCTTTATAGCGGTGTCAAAGAATTAGTGAATGGAGTAACAAAAGAAAGAAAAAGAAAGAAAGGTCAGGGCAAGAAACAAAAGAAACCTAAAATCTCTATTTCTCAATTAGCATAGTCTTGCGAAACCTTACATAAAAGGCCCTATTTATAGGCATCCATTGAAAAATTCTTATTAAAAGTTGCAAAAAGTAAACTACAATTTAAACATAATAAACAAATCAAACTTAATTAAAATAAAGTAATGGAACCCACTTGAATGGGGCCTCGTGCATTGGGTCACACTTTTTTATCAATTCCCTCATCCATCACTAACTAGAGAAAGGGACAGAAAACAAAAAAAGTTGCTATTCTTTCCATGAACATTCTTCGTAAGTTTGAGGAAATCATCAACAAAGAGTACCACTGTGGCGACAGAGAGAGAAAAATAATATAGAGCATCACTCAGTTCTTTAAATGATGCAATCACCTTTATTTTATATACTGTGATGTTTGATGGGTGCATTTCATCCTTCAACCATCAGCATTGGTGTCTAAAAAACTGACGGTATGCATCTCGATCTCCTGTACGGAGCAAGGATAAAGGGATCCAACTGTTTCAAAAAATCACTCCATGCCAGAGAGCTGAACATATTATGTCAATTTTCCAACAACCAGTGATAAAAAAATAAAAAGATGTGAAACATGTACTCAACAGAAAATGCAAGAAAGAAATATGAAAAACAAGCAAGAATAGTATCAAAAACATTGTTTGTTTTGTAATAAAAAATTCAAACCACATATCTTTTTTTTATTTAAACACAGGCTAAAGATTTACAACTAATAGTCATTTGATAGTTGCTATTCACA